TGTGGAAATTATATCAATATTTATCTCATTTTGCAATCGAATAATACCATACATGGGTAGTATCAATATATGAATATACATTAATAATTATTCCATTTTTCAATCTAATAATACCATACAGTATCAATAAACGAATATACATTATTAATTATTCCATTTAGCAATCGAATAATACCATACATGGGAGTGCATTAATAATTATTCCAGAAAAGATACATGTTCAACTACATGATTGAGCCTTTATGATCGGTAGACAGACTTCTCAACCACGGTACATTATGAAGTAGTTATCCAGTGTCAAAAATCCATGAGAAAACTGACGACGAGACTACGGTACGATTACTTGCTCACTCTAGCGAAAAAAAAGGATTACATTAGAACTGTAATACAAATGTATTTAAAATGGATGTCATAACATAAAGCAAATTAACATTTTCTCTCCTTTAGTCGTTCTCATGCTAGTTACGTTCACATAAACCTTTGAATAAATACGTACAATTTCAACCATTTCATTTAAATACAATATTTCATGATTTCAAAAGTCTACAATTATGTGAGTGACTGGAGAGATTAACACCTCTGCATGTTAATATTACTCATAAATCACGATAAAGCGTATAAAACAAATCTACAAGGGAGCAAAGTTACTGTCTACCAGGTTGCATATCACAGAAAACGCACTACCATTCCTCATTGGCTAACATTATGGCTTTTCACGCTCACGGTTCCGATCCGCCGGGTTTAGGGATATTTCTGTCCAGTGACAAACCTAACCGTACTTGCTATACAACAAAACTCGCCCCACCCTCGTTTGCATAAATTAACGGCAGCATTACGTCGCCGAGCTATTGTTATAAGATAAGGACAGGTGTCCCTAAGACGTCCCTTGGTTATGTACACGTCACACTCTAAATACAGCACTGGACTGCCTAGCAACAACTGTTACGAATTACACGTCTTGCCATCAATCGAAAGATCTACTATTTAGCATGAAGTTCATTTAATTTGAGTGATTGTCATTTTACTTATTATTTACTTATACATCCTACATGACAAGTTTAAATTATCTTACCATAATAAAGTATCTGTGTTAGCATGTACTGCTAATCCCTACGAACGAGATATGCTCGAATGGAGGTCCCCTTATAGTAGGGATACCCCTATCAGTAATAACATAACGGGGACACTTACATTAGTGCGCAAAATTCCAATTTAACAGTTTTTAACCACTACATTGGGGACAACCTCACATTTTTGGTTAGTTCCTCTTAAATTGGGGTTACCTTATTCAAGAGACACACTTATTTGGTCCCAAAAGTGTTCCCTGGTAAGGATTCTACAGTACAAATAAAATTATTAGATTACGGATTCAAAAGTCAACCAGTACTTCACAGTATAATGAAACCCACACTAAATACATATTAAGGCAAATTGTAATCGTTGTTATAATACTTATATAATACAGTCAACGTATAACGTCCTTGGACGTTTTCTTGTTGACAGCAACCAAAATTTATAATGCAACAGCAATCGTAAAATAGCTCCGTGATTGCGATCGAGTAATTGTTAGGGACTCGAACCAGGGTAGGTTGGCAGCGCACATTATCGAGCATGTGGCATCAGTATATAGTTTAAAATGTTGATGAGTGTGTTATAATTTAATTAACAAGCCTAAGAAAACCTTTTCTCGTACAAATGCTAAACGAATCTTCTATGTGAATATTTTGACATAAAGAAAGCCTTCTCTGTATCTATGAATTCAACTAATAATATTTTACCGATACAGTTATGTACCACAAGATGTACTGGAAAGGATTTCAACATTGTTTTTTCTCATTTTGCAATCGAATAATACCATACATGGGCAGTATCAATATATGAATATACATTAATAATTATTCCATTTATCAATCTAATAATACCATACAGTATCAATAAACGAATATACATTATTAATTATTCCATTTAGCAATCGAATAATACCATACATGGGAGTGCATTAATAATTATTCCAGAAAAGATACATGTTCAACTACGTGATTGAGCCTTTATGATCGGTAGACAGACTTCTCAACCACGGTACATTATGCAGTAGTTATCCAGTGTCAAAAATCCATGAGAAAACTGACGACGAGACTACGATACGATTACTTGCTCACTCTAGCGAAAATAAGAGATTACATTAGAACTGTAATACAAATGTATTAAAAATGAATGTCATAACATAAAGCAAATTAACATTTTCTCTCCTTTAGTTGTTCTCATGCTAGTTACGTTCACATAAACCTTTGAATAAATACGTACAATTTCAACCATTTCATTTAAATACAATATTTCATGACTTCAAAAGTCTACAATTATGTTAGTGACTGGAGAGATTAACACCTCGGCATGTTAATATTACTAATAAATCACGATAAAGCGTATAAAACAAATCTACAAGGGAGCAAAGTTACTGTCTACCAGGTTGCATATCACAGAAAACGCACTACCATTCCGCATTGGCTAACATTATGGCTTTCCACGCTCACGGTTCCGATCCGCCGGGTTTAGGGATATTTCTGTCCAGTGACAAATTTAACCGTACTTGCTATACAACAAAACTCGCATCACCCTCGTTTGCATAAATTAACGGCAGCATTACGTCGTCGAGCTATTGTTATAAGATAAGGACAGGTGTCCCTAAGACGTCCCTTGGTTATGTACACGTCACACTCTAAATACAGCACTGGACTGCCTAGCAACAATTGTTACGAATTACACGGTATTTTATTTGTTCAGATTTTGAAACGATACTCAGAGAAGCCAATAGAAATTTAAAAGGACGATTAAAGAAATGGTCCGCTTTTACTACCAATGTTTACACTAGTGTTATTTTGCTTAATTTTCTTAATTATTTTGTCTTCTTTCAAGGTATTTGAGCAATGGTAACATGATAACTGATATAGGGCAAGGTGCTTTCAATGGTATGGCAAGTCTTCGAAAGTTGTAAGTGACAAATCACAAGTTATGATTATTACAGTTATATATTTGACACTAAAATCTAATCGTAAATCATTCCACATTGTCTACTATTCAGGTCATTCCAAAACTTGACATTGCATTAATGACGACAAAGATCATTGGAACCAACACTCATCGACAACGACGGTAATAACAATACAAATTTACGACAAAAAGAAATCGCTGATAACAACATTCATTGATAAAACAACAACTATTATAAAAACGACAACGCTCGAGAAAAGACAAGTATGTAAATCAACAAGGTACAGGCTGCTCTGTATCTTGAACGCTAAGTGTATTATATCGGCGATAGATTTTTACCTTTGCTCAATGATAATAATTGTTTGATGTTTTTATGTTTTGAAGGGATTTGTCTTCAAAAAAAATAACTCATCTAAAGGATGGTGCCTTCAATGGTTTGACAAGCCTCCAATCGTTGTAAGTGGCAATCCACAAGTTACTTATTTTATCAGTTTCTTCACAATAAAGTATGTATTGCCTGATATTTCATTGTTTATGTCAAAAATAATAATCGTCGATAACGAACAACAATCTGAAAAGGGGGTATAATGTCAATCGGTATTACAACATCTGCACAGGATACGCACATAGGCCTACATTGTATGTGTTAAAAGTGGAGTTGTTTTCTTTAATAAATGAATCCTGGTGTCTCCAATGAACACAGCACCATAACATTAGAAAGCAGACGACTTTACCACCACGCTACATTGTTCTGCTGTAGTATTCTAAATATTATATTGGCATTTACTGGAAAAATAATATACACTCATTGATATGTCGGCAATTTTTTCTCGTTTGTTTTCTTTCAAGGGATTTGTCTAATAACGACATATCTGGTTTGAACAAAAGGTGCATTCAATGATTTAACAAGACTTCTAACATTGTAATTAACAATCCACAAGCTATGACTTATCATTTGTTGGGATTTTGATAGTCAACGCAAGTCACAAACTATTCAATATTCTTTACTATTTTTGTCATTTCAAAATGTATAACCTTATATTCGTATGATAGCGTCCGCAAAAATCTAACGAAAACGAGAAGAAGTTCTTGTATGAACGAGCTAAAGGGAGCCAATAAATTGGCCATCAATCAATGCAATATCTCTCATTAGAAAGCAGACGTCTTTACCACCACGCTACATCTGCTGTAGTATTCTAAATATTATATTGGCATTTACTGGAAAATAATATGCACTCGTTGATATGTCGACAATTTTTTCTCGTTTGCTTTTTTTTTTAAGGGATTTGTCTAATAACGACATATCTGGTTTAACAAAAGGTGCATTCAATGATTTAACAAGGCTTCTAACATTGTAAGTAACAATCCACAAGTTATGAATTATCATTTGTTGGGATTTTGATAGTCAACGCAAGTCACAAACTATTCAATATTCTTTACTATTTTTGTCATTTTAAAATGTATAACCTAACATTCGTATGATAGCGTCCGCAAAAATCTAACGAACACGACAAGAAGCTCTTCTCTCGTATGAACGAGCTAAAGGCAGACAATAAATTGGCCATCAATCAATGGAATATTTCCCAAGTAATACAGATTTTGAGACTAGGCCTTAGCTATGGGCGGATGCATTGATTTGTGTAGGCTGACTGAACATTGTTTTCTGATGGTTTGAAATCAGAAATTGTTAAGAATATAGCACTCTAAATGACCGAGAATGAAGCCATAATAATTACGAAAGCTTTCTAAAGTGTGTCTAGTTGACAATTATCCCAAAACACACACCACATAACATTATAATTATTTTATGTCATAGTTGGCGGTTGGGAGGGTACAGAAAGCACATTTGCGAACCGAGTAAGGGCCGACAGTTGTGGTTCCAGAATCAAAAGGCCCTTACAAAATTGCGGTTTTACTTCATGGGAGACTCATTATTGTTTTATTTTATAATCTTATGTAATGATTTCCGACAAATAAAAATAATCAAGTTGATACAACTTAGGCGATACACTGTGTCATATCGATTATAAACCAACATTTAAATAAACATTGTGATCGATAACATGAGAAATGTTAATTGCACATTATGAAAATCCTACTGATATATCTATTATCAGTTTCATGAAATTATCGATTCGATAAAAAGAATGTATTACTTATAAAAAATTAATTCCACATCACTGTCGAATTACTGTCTCACTGTCTCAAATTCCACACGGTAACGTACAACCACGTCATTAATTCGTTCGTTCTTGCGTCCTCAGTTCATTGAATTGTATTTTTATTTTATTTAGTCTTGAAGTACACTACGCATTGAAGATGAAATTAAATACGAAACAGCTGAGGTGAACAATCATAACACACAGTTCTCTCATTTATCTTAGCTAATTAATTGCAACTAGGACACCATACTGGCTCTATTGTTTTTCTCATTCTGTATTAAAAACCTGTAAAATTTCACAAAAGAATGTAACAAAAAACCCATGTCAGTTAACGGAAAAGACTCAATCTCAAACAGGGTCACAAGACAAACAATAGTATAACAAAAACATTTGGATTAAATCAATCAGAAATTAATCCCTATATTACTTATCAATGGGATGACCAACATTACAACTCATTATTAGCCCTAAGAGGGGCAATTTTCTCAGAAATCGTTGTATATCGTGCATTTCAGATTAGAGAAGAGGGATAGGCGACTAGGACTATTTTTAAGCCTTCAGATTTCCGATTTATTGACTTCGTGAAAGCGCTTTTAACTTTCAATTGTTGTTAAATCCCTACTTCAAAGTTTTAAGGTAATGATGACAAGGTAAAAAATGGATCGATGATCTAACGGCAAAGCTCAGGACTATCCTCGGAAGATCATACATTATGGATCTTCATGTAAGATCGCACGATTCTATCTGCAACAACTTTAAGAAGATTTCCTTTTTGTATTTGGGGACGAATATATTCACTCCAAAAAACTCTGTACATTTTATTTTTTATTTCAGATTTAATATCAGACCATTTGCGCTTAATGAAGAAAACGTTTAGCACAATTTCCTCTATCAATTTTTTTACCAACTTTGTTGACAATGTAGATTCCCAATCGAGCTAGCATTTTAATTAATAATAATAATAAAAATAATTAATAATAATAATAATGATAATAATAATAATAATAATTTTAGTGATAATATTAATAATAATGATTTAATAATAATAATGATAATAATAATAATAATAATAATAATAATAATAATAATAATAATAATAATAATAATAATAATAATAATAATAATAATAAGATATGAGATATAAAGAGCATTCAGAATTTTGAATAAAATGCAATTTTATTCATGAAGCCAGTTTTAACATTTTGTTTAAACAAATTTATTCATAGTATATCATATGAAGATTATATACCGTAAGTCATCAATAACATAATTAATTAAAAATGTATGAAAAATGTTTAGGTATTAAATGAGGTCAGGTCTAAATTTAAATAAAAATTGTTCCCTGGTCTAGTGAGATTTTACATGAAGTCAGGACATAATTGAGTGTTTCGGTATTGCTGCACATTTTTAATTTGTCAACTGTCATTAAGTATTTACACAGTGTAATTAAGAAGGTCACACACTGTGCAAAAAACTCTAAGGGAGATGTACACCTCATGTTCCCAAAAAGTTTTAAGGTTATTAAGACAAGGTAAATAATCGATCGATAAACTAACGCAAAGATCAGGACTTCCCTCTGAAGATTATGGATCTTCATGTAAGATCGCACGATTCTATGTGCAACAAGTTAAGAAGATTCCCCCTTTGTAATAGGAGAAGAATAAACTCACTCCAAAAACTTGTGCAATATTTGTACATTATATTTTGGATTTTAGATTTAATATCAGACATTTTGCGCTTAATGAAGGCAAAGAAAAAATTTCGTTGGCTTCATTTCCTCGATCCTATTGATAATACATTTCTAATAATAATAAGGAGAATGAGAAGAAGAAGAAGACCCCATGTTTGTATCGTCACCAGCGCTTCATAATTTCTTCCTTTTAAATTGGTTAAAACATTTACGAAAGTTTCAATCATATCATTTGATTTTTTTTTAAATATCTGGTCTGAGACGTTTTTCTTTGAGTGGTCCTCATATGCACACTCTACGCCGGTTGACCACCAAAATTGAATCACCTCATCCTTGGGTTATACCAATCAAACCCTGTATCTGGCATTTAAACCAGTGCAGCTGTTTTTGAGATATTTTTTACACAGGAAACACAAATTACCTCAAAAATGTAAATGACCCTCAAGTTCACTCACTAATTTGGATCGTGACCAGCGCTTGATAATTTATTCCTTCTTTAAACTTCCAGGAAGTTTTCAGGGGTGGCGCCATTATTTTTCCGACGGGCGGGGAGGTCGAAGTTCCCTACAAAAGCAAAGTGGGCGTGGTGGAGCTTCGATTAAAAGATATAGAA